TAGGTGCAACGTGTGCACATCTCTTAAAGAATTACACACACGTACGTCAACGTCATCAACTCACGGCTCCAAGAGGACGAAAGCGGCCAAAGCACAAGCAGCAGGCTCGGGGCTCGAGCGTTTGCAGATCCTCTTGCTGGTAAATTTAAAAACATGCATACAACTTACATTCACATTGGTGATTATCGTATGAATGCCGACCCCCGCGGGACATCTGTTGAAGCAGTACTACTGTGACTGTAGCACGTCCGCCTGCTCCAATGCCTCATCACAACAGTCGTGAGTCTTCAGCAAGAGCTGCAGCGACGCAAAAGGCGAAAGGAAGCTCTTGGTATACTGCACACATTCTCTCTCTCTCCCACACTCGTGACTCAAACTGTACCGGTGCCTCGTTTAGCAGGCGTGGGAAGAGAAAGAAAGGTCAAGGCAGGGCCTGCAAGAGGACTGCTCGTCGTCCGATACGCGGCAGAGCACTGCGACTGTGTCGGCATGTATGCGGTGCTCGCAAATGCGGCTACCCTGCATATCAAGTCGCGCCTTGGCATTCGACTGCATCCGACAAGGGCAGCGTGATGGCAGCTACCGAGTGCCATGCAGACGTACGATCCAGGGAGGGCCTTTGTGGCTTGACACTTGGTTGGCCAAGGCTCTAGCCGAGAGGAGTCTTTGCATGGAGAGAGATGCCCATGCAGCTAAAGCTACACACGCATCGCCAACGCACGCGGCTTACGGAGTCGTGCAATTCTCGGCATACTTTGTTGAATCACGAACGCTCGCACTTTGCAGCTGAAGTCGCAGTGAGTGATGAGCAGTCGTGAGTGACAGAAGAGGAAGAGCGGCAAAGCGAAACGGACCGTCGATTACGGTAAAGGTCTTCTCGGCACGCTCATACTGCGCCCAGCATCTATCTGCGCAGAGCCGGCTGTCTGCATTCGTGATTCACACTCATCAACTCAATATAGTCACGATTTAGAAATCGGAAACGCTAGATTTTGGTTCAATTGTTGATCAGGAGCGATCGAGTCAAGAATCAAGGGTCTGAATCAAAATGTCGGTCACGTGTTCGTTTATCAGTTCTTGATTCCACAACCGACAAACGCCCGATCCCAAACCATCTAAGCAGAGGTGCAGCAGCAGCAGCACATGTTGTGAATCATGAATCATGAATTCGATGAGGAATAACAAGCCACGCCAAGATCGCTATGTGGTTTAGTAGACACGCGATGCTCACGACTTACCATTGTGTCCGAAACTCTCTCATCCTTTCCACCTGAGTGATCGTGAAAATTTTGCACAATCTCGTTGCGCGCGTCAATGTGAATGTCGATCAAACGTTGATCGGTCGGTCGGTACAGGAGCAGCTTCTGGCCAAGTGAACAAGGACGATAGATCGACACGTTTGCATGACGAATAACTGCTCCAAAACACATCCTTCGGCAAGATTCCTAGATGCCCAACCCTGGATTCGAAAAGGGCAAGGCTGTGTCTGCTTCATCTTTCCGCCTTTGTGCTCAACGCCAAGACATTGTGAGATGTTGTGCCGGAGCCAGCTCTTTTACGTGTGAAGGTTGATACAATCCCACCAGGGTGCAACGGCGTTAGGCTGCCCTTGACCGACCGAAGCTTGATCACATCTTGCTGCTGCCACGTGCAAAGCTGCCGCACCATCTTCAACTGGCGTGAGATTGAGTTGCACGCGAGAGCCTCCTCGAGCGAATCGCCGAGGGCGCCAGAAGCCCATCTCGCCCTCTGTCCCACTCTTGAGTGTAAATACCTATCAGGTGTAAAGGGTTCAACGTGCTCAAGTTGACGAACAAGCAGCGCCGTTAGTTTGGGTTGCGGACGCGTATAGTATTGGAAAAGAAATTCGATGTTCAGAAAGGAGAAGAACGTAAAGTGAGGCATACATGTGCGGAAGACTGAACAAACAAACAGAAAAGGAGGTCCAAGGTTGCGAGACGAAGGAAAGAGGGAAAAAAGAAGACCACGTCTTGCCTTGGGGCGAGAATAGGGTTGCAGAGTCACGAAGAGGAAAAAGTTCGGTCCCACAAACGACACTCCGAGGGGTTTGACTTCGGAAAATGCGAGTGCCTGCCTGTGACTCGTCTTTGTATCCCGATCAGTCCTTGCGGTGAAAG